CCCCAGTCCTTGTTTTGCCTAACAAGCAACCTAAAACAAATAAATCTGGGAGAACTCAACAGCTTAATTCTTTCTAAGATAACATGCCTGTACTCCTATGGTGCAAAAAACAGTCTATAAAGATTTTTTTTTTTATCTACCTATTCTAAGCCTTGCATTTTCAGTGGTATCTCCAAACCTGTAACACCCATACACTCATATACGTCTATAAAATGCACAGATACAAAGATGTTGAAAAATAGTATTTATTAGCACCCAATTTACATAAATACATATTACAAAGGACATTTATTTGCTGCTTCAATATTTAGTAAAGCTGCTCTGAATAGTGTTACTACAGAAAGGCCCATCAGACTTTATTCAACAGAGAATGCAAGTACCGTACAAAACAATCACACTTTATTTAGCAACTACCCAGTTACTGCCTTCATTACCACATCACTTTCACCTTATATTTAACTGCAATAACAGAAGATTATAAGAAAATTTTCTTGGTAGACAGATTTACTCAAGATGCTTCACAAAGTTTTGTGCCATTTGCTTTTTAAAAGTTTATTTTTAAGAATTTTTTAAAATTGCTATACTAGTTCTCAGTTGGCATTTTCCCCTTTTTGCATCTTTGTCTAATTTTAACCAAATGGCAAACTATTGAAAACTATTCTTAAAGTGCACATTCGTAACAATTATGAATAACTCCTGGACTAAAACTGACAGATACTGAATAATATTCAGTGAAGAATCTTTTGTTATAAATATCCCGAAAATCTAGCATCACCATCACTGTTTCTTTATTGATGCAAAATCTCCGTAATGTGATGAAAACTAAAACCTAAATGATTTATTTTAATCAAAATTTAGGCAAACTGATAAATCACAAAACATTATTAAAACTCTCTGCAGTACAATACAAATATTGCAAATTCAATGTATACTTACCTGGGAGTAAGTCCTACTGATTATAGAGGACCTACTTCTAAGTAAATATACATAGAGAAAAATGGTGGCTATAAAAGCTACTTTTCTATAAAGAAAATAACATCACTTTATATCAAATCAAAGAGTAGTTTCAGCGGTTCATGATCAACATAACCTATACTTCATTACAGTAACTTCTTTCTGTTGATCTAAGCCAATATTAAGATTTGTTCCATGATAAATACAGTGATCACATGAACTACGTAGATCCATGTACGTATTTACTCAAGCATCATATGACGATTACAGCAGTTATCATGCTAAATGCAGAAGGATTACTACTCTCTTTAGGGACATAATTTCATTTATATTTTTGGAAAGGATTCTAATTTCAGTTTAGCTATATTATAAAACACAAGAAGCAAACCAGAGTTTTCTGCTGAATAATGGAAATCACTTCTAGTACTTCCAAAACTACCACCAGCTGTTGGTAAGTAAGAATAGGGGCTTCAAATCCAGATACTCAAAGAATGTGTATTAACCGTAAAATTAAAAGAAATTTCTCTACATTCTCTGAAATAAAATGTGGCAAAAAGAACAAAAGATATTGCCATTCTGTCAACGCCTAACAAAGAGTCATGTACCAAAATGTAACCAGGTTTATGTACCAACCAACACAAAAATTGTTCTGCACATGCAAAATCCAAATCTGCCTATTGTCCAGGAGAGGAGTTAGTGAAATGCCAAGTAATATACTAGAAGAAATAAAATATATCCAACTACAACCAAATTGCACTCTTGTACTTTTCAGGCACCTTAAACAAATTGGTTTAATATGGAGAACTGAGCAACAAGGTAAATATCTACTGGTTCCTGTAAATCACATATATTACTATGAAATGTGGTTATCATTGTGTGTTTTCAGTTTGCTATATACAGGGTTTTCAGTTAGCATACAGTTAAGGTACCTTTTTTTGTTTCAAACAACAAACAGAGGGTTAAATTTTCTTCCTCTTCTTTGAAAAGGAAAGATAACAAGGAGGAGAAAGAATATGTTCTTAAAATAAATTATGGAGGGTGTAAGGGCAGCACTAGTTCACAAGTTTCCTCCTGTTCAGATGTACATGCTCTTCATGAATCAGTAGCTACAGCTTCAGATGACAAGTATATGCTCAGCATTTTCTCTCTAGTCAAATGCATAGGCAAAACTTTTAGATAACTAGACATGATTTTAACTACAGTATGTTAAATGAAGGCAGTTCACTTGGTGAGCTTCATTTGGATAGCATAAAGAAAAGCAATTAAGAAAAAGATGCACATTGAACATTAATCAGTCTGACCTAAAAATGACTATGAATGGATAACAGAAATGCAATCCAAGACTGGAAGATAAATGAAACAGTTTATCAGTTAAAAAAGGTCCTTTTCAACTCCAACAGAATGTATCCGTATTTAGTCCAATGCAGATTGTAATATGCAATTTGACAGACACAAACACGGAATCTGCAACAGAGCCCACAACCTCGTAATAAGGCTACATTTTGTTTGTTCAATGGCACCTCAACTTCTGGCTATTCATCTATTTTAAAAGTCACTTCACTTGGATCAAAAATTCACTAAGCAGGATGGCACGTCCTTCTATCCATATTTGAATAGCAACTTTTTGTTACATTCATAATTTAATCAAACATGCTGACCCTATTAGTGATATGTACAGCAATTTAAACATCAGCAATTTTGTATTATGTTGCTTAAGCAAAAAGCACAATACTATATATGTTTTATCCTTTGTATTAAATCTCGAGAACTTTCAATACTAAAACATTAAAATTATCCATAGAATCTTCCCTTACTTATAATATATACTGTTTACAATCTCTCTGTCATATACATATATATACACACATACACAAAATATACACAGCTTAATGTTTGTAATATCCTTTTTAAAAATAAGGATATCAAGATAGTAAAGGGAAATACACAGAAGTCACACATAGATTAATGTGTTTTGTGCAGTTGGATTTTCTGCTTTGACACAAAATCACAAAAATAATGGATGTGTAACAGCTATTCCTATTTAATCCGTTTCTGCAGGAGAGGAAACAACTATAAACAGGTTTGGTTTTTTGTAACAAACGTACAGAAAATAACCATTAAAAGTACCACAACATAGTGGCCAAAGATGGCCAATCTTTTAAGTTTCAAGTACTTTCAAAAACCAATTCCAGTCACATATTCCCAATACAAGGTCTGTTAGATAAAACCATGAAGATTGGGGGCCGCAGGTGAGGGGGGACAATATTGCGTATAAAAGAATACCATCTACCTTTGGACACTCCCAGCTTGCGCTGGCATAAACCCTCCCACAGTTATGGCAAATATTATGGAGTCACTGGAAGGGAGCAGGAAACCATTGTTACTTCGTACAGGTTTTGTCCACGGTAAATAGCCTGAATCCCCTCACATATCCCAAACAGTACACAAATATATCCTGTTCTTGTGTGGCTTATTAGGCTCTTATGCAGTGCAGTTTACAAAGTGGGAGAACACCACACGCTTTCCCAACCAATAAGCACCCCAGTAAGAAAATCTGGAAATCTCATTTCTTGTGTAGCTGGAAAGATACGTAATATTCCTTGGCTCTACTATGAATAGTCATCAGCATCTGAAATTAGTCAGATCCTTATTGTAAACATATGCCCCATCATCTTAGACGAAGTTACATTAAAGGCTATACTGTGGTTCCAGCCACCTGTTAACATTCATTTCCAACAGTTTAAATAGAATTTACATTTATATGCATTTTACATATCTTCTTTTAACATAATTTCAGAAAATATGTTATTGCATTCATACTTTTAAATAGTTGACACTTTCAATCCAATCTGTCTATTATAAGACCCTATAGGCTGAGATTAAATATGGGCTGAGCTTCTGTACCTCCTTGAACCACTCAATGCTAGAAAAGGAGACAATGAATTAATTGTTTCAAGGTTCTGAATTACATGAATTTTCAATTTAGAGAATAATCTAGGTTAAGATTTATTTGCCACCTTCTCCAACTTGGTGCCCTTTAGAAGTGCTGATTGGAAGCTCCAGGAGTTGCAGCCCCAACACTTTTGCAGTGCACCAAGTTAGGGAAAGCTGATCCAATGATACCAAGGTAAGCTATTAGCCTTTTTGTGGATTTCTACATTGCATATATTAAGACAGCATCTCGTTTTGCCCAAGGCCAGCCTAGACAAAAAAGGACACTTTCAAAATTAAAATGGTTCTTCTATAGACCGCTTGAAATAGGGAGTTTCCCAGCTCTCAGCACTAACTGAACTCATATAATCTGAAGCAATTGCTAACATTCACTGAATTAAAGGGTACAAGAAGATTCTTGCTCTTATCTTTTGTACAGCTTATGTTATAGATACAGATATATGGATATATAGGTATAGATATATACAAGGCAGCTAGAAGGAAAGGGAAGTGTTGCATCATACAAAGACTTTGGCAAGTGCATCTGCTCCTGCACTGGCAATATAACATTTGGAGGGATGGAATGCCACATCATGAATGGATTCATCATGCTTTTTGCGATGAGCTGTAAATTCCTGAATGCAGGTTTTGCTTTCAAGGTTCCATAAGCGTATAGAACAGTCATGGCCTAAAAAAGAAAAATATTTCCTTAGATTTGTAGCCGAATTTTTATTGTTAGCAAGAACATTTTAAAAAAACAAATGAAATGTACTTACTGCCGGACATCAAGTACAAGCCATTTGGATCGACAGCTAAACTTGTGACTGCATCCAAGTGGGCTACCATAGAGTGGATCAATTTTCCTTTGCAATTAAATATACACACACACACATATATATATATATTAGAACTTGTAATAAGTTAAGCTATTACAGAAAGTTAGAAATGTAAAATGACATGTATACAAGGATCAGACCAAATACTTATACCATCTATTGTCACAAAGAAGAAAATCTGATTTTTAGCATAATTCAGTCTCTTTGCTGAGTGATCACCTAACTGTGCACTATTCTAGTCAGTGTCACCTTCACTGTATATTCCTAAATCTGTGCTTCTCAAAGCTGACGCCTTGAGCACGGTACACTGCATCTTCGTTAGCTCCCAAAGGAACAGACAGGCATCCCCTCTGCAACTCCCCTTTACAGCTCTGCCCTCCACTTCCCAAAGGTATGAGATGTAACTTGACTAAGTCTGAACTCTTACATAGCTTGGAAGAGAGATCCTGTAAGCACATTTTGCAAGCTGCAACATGCTGCTAGGTTGCTTGCACAAACTCTTGTTTCGCTTCTTTGCCAATCTGATTCTTAAACTGAAATGCATTCAGCTGAATAAGAGCGTTCAGTAAAACTGAGTCCTGCTAGAGAAACTATTGCACTGCATGTTTCTAAAGGAAGAAGACTTCCTAAAGGAAGGCACGTATGTAAGATTTAAAAACGACTACAAGTATTCCAAGGGATATCATTTATAAATATACTATCATTAAGTTAAGAGCAAAAAGAGCTTACTTTTTTTTTCTGGTAGATTTTCAGAAGGTTATACTAAGAAAGAAAAACCTCCACAGGTTTTAACAACAATCTCATTTTGTGCTATGTAGCAAATACATTTATATGAATTTCTTCTCCAAGTCTCCTGAATAACTCTGTTGATGGATCATATCTTTATAACAAAGACAAGTATCAGGGATTTTCTGAGTGTGATGTTAAAGCCATAAATACACTGCATTGCCAGCACTGCTAGGTCAACAAGCCTTTATTCCTACTGTTGATTTTGTCTGTCAGAGGTTATAACTGGATACTGATTTTGAAATATTCACGTTATCTTCAAATTGTAGTAGTGTTTTGGGATTTTATGATGTAGTACACAGGGAAACAGGCTACTTACCAGTGTTATTGTCATAAAATTTGATGTGCCTGTCCTCATGGGCTGTGATACTTATTGGAAGAGTTGGATGGCTGATTACTTTGTTTATTTGGCAAGAAGTGTTAACTGCTGATGATAGAAAGCAGACATACACACAAAATCAACTCTAAAAAATGCTCAAGTCACATACAATTCTGAAAGATTACTGGCCTAATCTAGTAGGCCATTCTGATGAAAGAACACTTTCAAGATCCAAACAATTATATCCAGATTATTTAAACCAGCTTTATGTTATTAGGCTCACTAAACATAGTGGATGCCTATATAAAGCAATAAAAGAAGAACAAGTAAAAGAATGTATGATAAAATGGGTTAAGAAATTTGGACACAATATATTGATAGAACAGTGGGAAAATATGTGGTTAAAAGGACTGAAACTTACATTATGTTCTAACCTAAAAGAGTATTTTTATAAAATGATGTACTGTTGGCATAGGACTCCAGAAGAAATTGTGCAGAATGTATAAAGGTACTTAAATTTATGTTGGAAATGTGGGCAACATGAAGGTTCATTTTATCATGCCTGGTGGACTTGTAAAAAAGCCAGAAACTTCTGGGTTTAGATAGATAGATAGATAGATAGATAGATAGATAGATAGATAGATAGATAGATAGATAGATAGAATTTTAAAGATCAACATTCAACTGAAACCAGAGCTCTTCT